CCATTTGAACGAGATAATAATTAGTGAAAACACCTGTCTGTAACGCAGAGTCTTATAGGAAAACTTGACCGCATTCTTAAGTCTCGTGTGGACGCGTCTATGCAACGTAAATGGTTGGGAAATTAGACGAAGGATCCGAATTAATATTTCAAATGAGAAAAAAAAGATAAATAACAAAGAAAATACCGTTTGTAGACAAAATTTGCAGTTCTCCTAGCGCCGACAGATCGAACACGAAAGCGGACGGAAGAAGCAAAACAAATTAGTCAGTGACATAAAAATCATAGAGTTTTTGATATGTTGATGAGATGATTCGTTACGTTCCCTTCTGGTTTAATCTCCATCAGTGCACTTAAAAATCGTTCCAAAAATTGACCAATCGTCCATTGGCGCATAGGTTTGTACAATTCAATCGTCAACCAACCCAACGGGTTGTCATCGATGTTCAAGACTTCCAACTTTTTAAGGTCTGAGAAAGTCTCAGGATCAATTGTCTTTATGCAGTTATTTGTCAACGAGAGAATCTTCAAAAAATGGAGACCACGGAACATATCATCCGTCAACCTCTCCAACTTGTTGCTCGTCAAATTCAGAGCGTCCAGGAATGTAAAGTGAGAAAAAGCATTGGGTCCAATAACTTTTAGCTCATTATCTTGGAAATCAAGTGTCGTCAGATATTCTGTGACAGTTGAAACTAAATAATTGTGTACTTCTTCAATTTGCTGTCCTTGAATCGTCAAGAATCTCAAAGTAGGAATTGTATGGACGAACTCCATAGGGAACTCTCGAAGTTGATTGTTGATGAGCTTTACTGTCCGGAGGTATGGCTGATTATGAAAAGGAGATGATCCTCGAATTTCTGTGCTGTTCAGGGTGAGGGAGAACAATTTCGGTACCTCGCCCAAGTCGTCCATCTCGAGAATCCCCAAACGATTCTCCGTTAGCGGCTCGATTATCAAATGCATCAGTGTCACAAGTACCACCTCGCCCCCCTCGCTGAGCCATATCTCCCCATCGTCGTCTTCCAACTTCACTAAGATGGACGGATGATTGTCTACTGAACAGATCCTCAATTTTTCCTCTTGCCTCCGACAGTTGTATATGCTACC